ACACACACACACACACACACACACACACACACACACACACACACACACACACACACGGCTAATGACGAACCGATGCAATACTGATTTGTGTTAAAAATCAAAGAGCAAATAACACTCTCATAACGGAGTTAATCATGCACCTCTTTGTGGCATTTCAGAATTGCAGTAATGCCATAATTCGTTATTTAATACTTATTTCAGAACACAGTTGTTGGAAGAATCAAAGAGTCGGATACTAATAATTTCCTTAAATGTAGGCTATAAGGTATTTAGATGAGGCTATCAAAATGTGTTTGTTCGCTCAAAGAATACATAACACTCCTTCCCCAGAGTGATGTGTCAGTCAGTAAACACTTACTGAACGGCTGCTATGCTCGAGGAATTGTCGCAGGCACTGGGGATAGAGCCTTGAACAAGACAAGTCCCCGCCTTCAGTGAGCTTACATTCTAGTGAAGTGACACAGGATTAACATAAATTAATAAGATCATTTCAATTCTAGAAACTATTAGAAGAAAATTTGTAATAGGGTGGAAAATGTGTAATAAAAGAGGTCTTTCTTAGGAAGTGATATTTGAGTTTAAAACCAAAAGTTGAGAGGGAAGCTGTGGAAGATCTAGGACAAGGCCTCCCTGACACAAGGAACTTGAGACTTTTGACATTTGGGGGCACGGAAAGACCAAGGTGGTTGGAGAATGGTGGAGAGTGGAGGGACAGGAGGAAAGAGGGGTCAGTCAGAGGGACCGTGGTAGCAGTAAAAGTGAGAGGTGATGGTCGGGTGAACTAGGGTTGGAGCAGGAGAGATGAAGAGATGGGGCTGGATTCTCAGGATAGATTTTAGTTAGAGCCAACAGGTGTTTTTGATGGATTTGTTGGGGGAAGGCAGGTCAGAAACAAAGAGAAATTAAGGATAAGTCCTCCGTTTTTAATCTGAGCAACTGAGTGGGTGGTGCTCTGTTTTCTACAATTAGAGGTTCGGAATTGAGAGGACAGGATGGAGGATGGGAGCTTGGTAGGTCTGAGATGCCTAGTCATCACCCAGATTAAAATATTGAGTGTCCAGTTGGCTCATAACAAAGGGACTCAGTGGAAAGCTGTGGACTGGACTAGATCTGGGTGTCGTGAGAGAACTGATGGCAGTTAAAGCTATGGGACTAGATGAGAATACCTGGGGCATCCGTGTGAATGCAGAAGGGAAGAGATGTGAGTACTGAGTCCTGGGGTACTTCGGTGTTAGTGGTCTGGCAGAGCAAGGACCAGTGACGAGAGTAGGTAAGCGATGGTCATCTTCCAAGGAGAGAGGGCCAACCATGTGACGTGCTCCCAAGAGGCTGAGAGAGGAGAGGACAGAGCGCTGGTCACTGGCCTGAGCAAGCCGTGGGGCTGGAAGCTTGATGGGGTGAAGGGAGGCGAGGAAGTGGAGATGCTGAGGAGACAGTTCCTTCAAGGAGTTTTGCTGTAAGAAAGAGCAGGGACGCAGGGAGGAACTAGAGGAACAACGGGGAATCAAGGGAGGGTTTTACTTTTGTTTATGGAGTGAGTGGCTCTAGGGAGTGTTTGTGCGCTGATCAGGACAAGGCAGTGGTGGGACCGATGTTTGAAATTGTAACCTTTGAGAGGGAAGGAGGGGCTGGCTCCAGGAACACAAGTGGAGCGATTGGTCCAGACGATCCATTGCACCAGGAGGGAGAACACACCAGTTGGTACAGTGTGGGGATCCTGGCGGACCGTGATAGGCTTCCAGGCCAACCATCTACGCTTCAGTGGCCGCCACTGTCTGCCCTGTTCTCTCCTGTTGAAGCAAGGAGTGTCCGCTCTGTGCCGGGAACTCTTCGAGGTGCAAAGATTCATGGTTTGTGGTCACAGCAAATAACGCATGTCCACACCTGCATCTCCAGACGTGGCACACCAATGGCAGAGGCAGTACCGTCTCAGACTTTAGGAGGGACCAAAAAAAAGGCAGCACTGAGAGACCGTGAAGCACGGGCCACTGACCAAACCCGGCTAGGCTTAGGCTTTCCAGGTGGAAGGACCACAGGACTGAGGCAGCGAGGTGGCAAGTACCCAGGTGCGGTCTCCAGCCTCCTACTAGGGTTTAAGGCCACGGCTGGGAGTGCCTGGGGGATGCAGCGCTGGGAGGGAACCAGGGCTGTGCCGCAGGCCAGTGCGGCTGTGCCAGTGCCCTCCTGGGCAGGACTCAGGGGTCAGTGATTTGGGGCAATAAAGATGGAGTCTTTGGCTGAATGAGGTCAGGTTCTATTTCTGCGGAGCTACCACTCCCTGCCTGACTCCCACCATCTCCTTTTATCTGCAGCTGAGGGCTGTGTGTGTGTGTGTCTGTCTGTAAATCCTCTTTTCTAGTCTCTTTTCTTCTTCTCTTGGCTTTGTCTTCTCAGCCTCCTTTCTTTCCTCTTCCCCCTCTTCTCCCTCAAACAGTGGAAAACACATGCTTAATCCTGGGCAAACATTAACCCCAGGTGACGTTTTCAAGAGGGGAGACAAGCCCAGCCGAGTGAGAAGCGGGGTGCCAGGGCCGGGGTGCTGGCGGCCCTGCCCCACGCTGGAAAGGAGGGTCTGGTAGGGGCGGCCAGGGGACAGACCCCACCCCTGCCGGGCCCTCCGGTGGATAACCGCATCCTCCACGCTGGAGCTGGGCCTCTGCAGAGTAAGAAACGAGGAAGGGAAGCCGAGAGAGGGAGGCCTGTGAGAAGGCGGGGTCTCGGGCCCCTCACCTCCTCACCTCCAGGCGTCTTTGAAAATCTGAATAAGTAAGGAGGAGGCGCGGGGCGGGCCTGCGGTTCTGGCCTAGGAGCCGCCCAGGACTCGCCTGCCCAGGACCCCGCCGCCGCCCATTTTCGCGGTCCCGGCTGGGTGGGTTCGGATCGGATTCGGGTGCCGCTTGGCCTCAGGCCTGGGAAGCAGCCCGGCACAGCCACCTCCCGGCCCAGGGCTGGGGGCCCCCAAGGCAGGGAATTTATCACCTACATTTTCGCACCCCCCCGGATCCGCTGGACGTGGGAAGTGGGAAGCAACCACTTCACCTTTGCAGTGCCCCAGGGACAGGGCCCAGGAGAGGGGTTCTAAAACGGTGGTGTTACAGAGATGAGATTATTGGTGACATGAGTTTCGTTTTCAACTCCCCTTAACCTTGAGGGGGCAGCCAGTGCCCCGAAGCCAGTGGTTTTGAGCCCAGGATCCTGGGCGGGCAGCTCCTGGCTCAGTGACCTTGGAAAGGTCACCTACCCCTTTCTGAGTCTCCCTTGAATCCTCTCTTCAGTGTAGATGTTCCCCCCCCCAGTTCTCCCACCTCTCAGGACATTGGCCCACGATTAGATGGCACAATCTCAATCGTCCTTTAACTGTGCAGAAACTGTAAGATTTAAGCAGGGGAAGTTTATACCATAATTAAAGGGAGGGTTAATGATCTCCTTTTCTAGTGGAGCCCCAAGCCTGTCCCTAGCCCCAGGGTCAGATGCTTCCAGCCACATCGCAGCCCAGTTACACTGAGTTTACTAGGACACATAATATGGCTGTTTATTGAACATTTGCTAGCATTAGGTGCTGTTTGGGTAAATGAATTGTCTCTAATCCTCACCACTACTCAGCAAGTCAGGTATCATCAGCCCCCCTGTACAGATCCGGCTCCCTGCTTACCATACCTGAGACCTTGCCCAGCCCCAAGAATTCCAATTCTCTCTTCAGAGAGCTAAGCAAAATGATTGACCGGGACTCAGGAAAACCCCGGTGGATTAGGACTTGAAATCCCAGGTATCACACCAGGGGTTTCCAGTTTTAGGCCAATGTTAGGAGAAGCTCTCTTCCGAGGAAATGTTATTCTCTGAAAGCTCTTTGAGATTTACAGTGGGAGAAGGGAAATGAGCCTCAGAAACGGTGCGTGGTGAGTGGGTGCTATTTTCCTAAAAGGAGGAAAGCCCCTTTCATTCAAAGGGCCGTAGAATTCAGCTGGAAATGGGTTTCTTTGCAGTTAATCCTCTGCAAAGCTCTTTGGATGCCTGATTCCAGAATCCCAGAACTCACACTTAGGGTCACAATTCCTGGGCATTTATTCGCCAAGCCCCACGGACGTTACTCCCATGGACCGTCCCCGCCCTTCTCCTTTGGAACAGAGCGAAACCCATTCCGTGGCTTTGGCAGGAAGTCTTCAGGCCCTTGTGTCCGGCCCTCTGCGACATCAAAGCCCCCCTGAGAGCAAAGGACTTTGAAAAGATACGAAACGCTCGGGCTTCCTTATCGCGTCCCTGCTCCCTCCCGAGCAAGTCGTAAATTCCGAGCCTCTGCGGCCTCTCCCCAACGCTCTTCTCGCTCCAAGGTCTCAAAGGACAAACTTGTCACTTACCGCCCCGCCCCTGGGTCCTGGCCGAGGCCGATTGAAGCGGGGATGGAGGGGCGCGAGGTTTGGGATGGGCTGGAGGGACGGGTGCGGGGGGGCCCCCCGAGGGCCCCCCGAGCCTCCTGACACCCCTAGTTGCCCCTCCTCACGTCCTGGGACCCTGCTTCCCTCGGAAACCCCTCGGGGCGCAGTAGCGCGCTCCCGCCGCGTGTCTGTGCTTCTCCGCAGGCCAGGAGGGCGTCCTGCGCTGCCACCCGGACCTGGCGGGCCGCGAGCTGCAGCGGGGCGAGCTCAGCGCCGAGTCGCAGCGGGAGCAGAGCGCCGCGGGCCACACGAGCCTGGGCGCGGCCGAGCGGCTCTGGCTGGCCGAGCTCAACGCGCAGTACCGCGCGCGCTCCGGCTTCCCCTTTGCGCTCGCCGCGCGCCTCAGCGACCGGGCTGCGGTGCCCCGCGAGCGGGCGCGCCGGCTGCACTGCCCACCCACGCAGGAGCTGAACTCCGCACTGGGCGAAGTGAAGAAGATCGGCCGCCGGCGTCTCGCCGACCTCCTCGGGAGCCACGCCACCGAATCGTAGCGGCTGCGCCAGCCAGCGACCCGGGACGCACGTCGTGACGCGCGAGGGCCGCGGGCGCGCGCGCTGCGCTTGGAACAGCGTCCACACCCGCGCACAAAGGCCGGGGAGAACCGAGGCAGTCTTACGAATAATAAGCCCTTTTGTCCACCTACCCGCATGCTCACGCTTTGCCAAAATAGATAGTTGCGTGCTTTTCGGCCCCCGCTCCCCGCGCCGCTCCCGATTTATCCAGCTCACTGCTCCAATTCTTCACTCCCTTAGCGGCCCGCTGACACCAGCTTTTGCGGATTCCAGGGCGCTAATCGAGCTCTCTCCGGCTCCCCACCCTCTCCTGCCAAACCCCAGGCGCAAAGCAAAACGAACGGAAAAGGAAGCTTTTATTCCGCAGCGGTTTGTCTGTTTCTTTTTTCTTCTCCCACCTTAGTTGCTGCACGCGATATTTACATGTGAGTGGAAGCGCCTCTCTGGCTCTGGGACACGAACGGGAGCCAGAGCTGGGAGAGCAAAGCGCCGGGGAAGCAGCGTGCGCGGGGACGGTGGGCAGGAGAGAGCCCCGCAGGGGCCGGTATTGCGGAGGCGCCCCGTGGAGCAGAGAAGGCTGGGAGCGGGGCTCTCTAGGATGGACGGGCCTGAAGGTCAGGGCCAGCGGCCTCCCGTCTCTCCCGGGGGTGGGCCCAGGAGAGCTGTTTTGTCAGAGTCCCTGGAAACCATAAGTCATTAAACATAATTTTTAAAATAATTGAATAACACTCATTGAGTAGTGCTGGATATCCGCATCCCCCCCATGAAGATGGGACCCTATAGCACTGATAATGCGGTTGATGAGGGAAGATCTGTGTCCATAGAAAGCTTTCTGGCCAAAGGAGGCCAGACTGGGCAGCTCTGCACTGGTGGCCAGAAAGTCCACTCACATAGGAGGAGCCCACCACGTTTCTCTCCCACCCCCCAGCCAGACAGCCATTTGCACTGGAAGGTCTAACGAACCCCGACAAATACTCTGTAGGCTTCTGTTGGCAAAGGAGAAACAAGCCATACCATCCTCCTCACCGCAGACGGGGTAAGACGTGGAGGCAGAGCTGGCCCTTTTGAAGACAAGAACCTCCATTAGTGACCAGCCCAGGTCTGAGGGACACAGCAGCAAGAAAACCTTTCCATAAAAAGTGGTGTGGCCGCACCCTTGGTTGGGGGCTGAATTCCACAGAGAGAAGCCACTGTGGTAGGACAGGGATTTTAATCACGGAAACCCACTCCCCTTTGCCATCTTACAGACGTTGCCCGCTAGTGGTGAGGGTGAAGGCCAGAGGCTGGTGGTCAGCGTGGTAGGTAGGGGAGCCAGGAAGTGAGCTGTGACCCCACCGAACCTGTAGAACAACTCCAGGGCCTCCCCTGCCAAGGGCGGGCGGGTGCCAGAGCGCTCTGGATGTAGGAGCACCAGGTGCACATCACAAAGGACCTGGAGGCAAAGTTGGGGCCCTTGGGCCTGGGGCTAGACGCTGACCTCCCTCCAGCCAGGGTGACTTGGGGGCTTTCCTGACACATGCAAGAAACCTGCTGCTTGGCGAAGAGGGTTTTCTGGTCCAGGATACAAGCGCCAAGGGCTGGGCCTGAGACTGAGAATAATACACTATATTGAAGGTACCTTGCCCAGCCCTGGGGTGAGTCCAGCTCTCAGACAGATGGAGCCAAAATGCAGAGTCTGAGCTCTTTATGTGAATATGCTCAAGCTAAGATAGGCAGGGCTCCCCAAGGCAAGATTCTCAGCCGTATTTTTAGAACGAGAGGGGATGTGATCTGGCCCTCTCAAGGCACGATCTGTGTCTCCAGTTACACAGTTACCTTTCAAGGGCTCAAAGCTTGTCGGTGAAATTGTTTATTTCTGCAGGAGGGGATCCGGGTGGGGGAAGATGCTAGATCCGCCCCTTCAAAGGATCTGGGGGAGAAGGGGGAGTGCCTCTTCCAAAGCCCCGAGCGCTCGCAGCCGCGCGGGCGGGAGGGCGCGGGACGCAGACGTGGGCGCCGGCGGGGAAGACCCTGGCAAAAGCCCCAGGGGGCTGCTGCTTTCTTCTCGGCAGGAGCAGAGAGGCCAGGCCGGCCCTCCTGCAGGCGGGTAACCTGAGGCTGCCGAGGTTTGGCAGGGCAGTTTGTTTCCTGCCACATCTTTGCTCAAACAGTGACTCGTCCTGGGCTTGTGCCGGCCTCGGAGACGTCTTCTGGTTTCCGCGCTCCGGTGCGCAGGACGCGGGAGACAAACCCCGACGAGCGGGGACCGCGACCGCGGACTCGGACCTCAGCGTGCGCGCCAGCCTGGGCGGCGGGGTGGCCCGGAGCGCGCCCAGAGATGTCGGGGGAGGGGGCGCAGAAGCGGTGGTGTGGATTCCAGGGTGAATAATTAATACTTTTACTTACTAATTCGTTATGAAAGCACGAAGGCAACTCTAAGAAAATCTGGAGAGCAAGGAGCTGATTTCAGCTCCTTTCAACCCCTCCACGCAGGCTGCCTTCCGAGATGGGGGGCTGCTTCGCCGACTTTCACTCCCCCTTAAAATGTCCGGGCCAGCCGGCGAGCAGGGGGCGCCCCCCGGCGAGCATCCCCGCTGGGAATTCCCGAGCTCAGCCCCACTCACCTATGTTACCGGGTAACTGAATGGGGGCCTCCTTTTCATCACCCAGACAGGTACGCTTTAGGGTCTAGGTGTCCAAAGATGTGCACGGACACGGGTGCGGGAAGAAAGACAACCCAATTCTTGGCATAACCTTTCGTCATTTTAAATTTGACACGTTGCCAGAGTTCAGCCACAGGATACGGGTTCCGATTCAAAAATAAAGACGAGCTCTTTTTCAGAAAGTATTTACTGTGGGACTGGAGTGGATGGATACCTTCGTTGGCAGTTGGAGAAAAATCTGGATGGAATCAATGGAAAACTCACCATTCAATAAACGAATAAACCGCAGTTAGCAGGTGTCTGTGAAAGGGAGAAATAAATAGGACGCCGAAAGCAAGCAGTCAGAGGTGTCACAACAGCTGAACCTGGTTGTTCTGCGACTCTTTGGTGTGAGTGGTGGGGAGTTTGGGTTCCGGCAAGGAGGCCAGTTGGTTTGGGGTTTAGAAGGCAGTGTTTCTAGGGTGGCACCAGCAGCCCTGTAGTAATTTACATCTTTACAGAGTGCTCTGAGTTACAAAGAGTGCCCCTATAGTAGCTCACTTAAGGGTCGTGACTGGGACAGCTAGCTGTGTGGCCTTGGGAACGTCACCCAACCTCTCTGGGCCTCAGAGTTCTCCTTTGTAAAATGGAAGGGCTACAGACACTAAGTCCTCTGTCCCCCCTCTTGGGAGAGTAACTTCCCAATGGGCTCAGTGACTCAAGGAGAGCTGAACCTTTATCTGAGCCACTTCCTTTAGCCACGTAAAACCTACTGCGTAGGGGCTCCTAGGAACATATTTTCATATGACAAACAAAGGTCACTCTAGGCACGAGACATTGGGGAGTGAACAAACGGTAACTCCACGTCAAAGCCACGTGAGACCATTTAGGTGTTGCTGGCCTGGGGGCCTCTCCTCCCCAGCATCAGGGTTTCCCTCTGGGGTGAGATCCCAAGTGCTCTGTCTCAGGGCTCTAAATCATGCTCTGTGCTCCTGCATCACACAGAAGTAGAGTGTGTTACACAACACCCACACTGTGTCCAGAGACTGATTCTAGGGGGGGAAAGAAAAAAAAAAAGGAAGAGAATGTGCAACCACCACGTATTCACATAACTTTCAGCCAGTGAGCAAAACCAGATTTCTGCACCCAAATATCAGCCCCTTTCCTGAGGCTTTTTATTTTCCAAACCTCCTCGCTTTGAGGAGAGGAAAAAAAATGTGTTCCTTGCATGAGAAAGCTTGCTGTTTTCTCCTCTCTCCTGCACCCTGAGTGTTAAAACTCTAGTCCACCAATAACCGGCCACAATTTCAGGGACTTTTCCTCCGGTAGAGAGACTCAGTTTGCTTGGGGGAAAACATTCTTGACTCCACTGGGTGGAAACACATCTGCTCCTGTGAATGAAGCCCGGACAGCTGTGGGCAGCTGCGGCCCCTCCCTGCTGTTCAGGACGAACATGTTTGGCTCCTTTGTGACCTGACGGGGCTGAGCAGGCAGTGGACTCTGGGGAGGCCTACAGAAAGGACACTGTGATGGATTTCCTTCCCAGGGATGTTAGCCGAGCGGGCTGTGGCGTGGCAGGGCAGGGTGTGTTGGGGTCAAACCACCCATTATAGAGCCTTCCTTTGTGTGAGGGGGTTGCCCACTGAGTGCGATGGCCCAAGAACTCCCTGACTCCAAATTAAGTGGAGATTGAGTCGTTTTTCCACATCAGTGTAGACTGCCAAGGTGAACAATTTCGTCAGACAACACTCTCTTCCTTCTCACTCTTCCTTAATGATCCTGGGAATTCAGGTCAGTGCCGGGTGAAGGCTTCCTGTGTGGGGGAGGAGAGGCAGTCTGCAAGGGCTGCGTTATTTGGATAATTTCCTGGACCTAAAAGGGGCTTCAGAAAGTAGGCTTGCATGCTAAGGTGGATACAGACAGCCTGCCCCATCAGGGTTACAAGGGTCACGGGTGCCCCAGTTCCAGAAGCCACACATATGGGGAAAAGCAGGGTCCCCCAAGCTGGAGCAAACACTGGGGACCTTTGAGCAGGGAGAGAGCCCTGTCAATGATCTGTGGATTCAAGGAGTGTCTCATCTGCCCGGAGGAGCAGCCCGCCCCTTCCGGTGCCTCCTGCCCCCGCCCCCCTCGGTGCCCCTGCCCTTGCCAGCGGCCGGGCTCCTGGAAGCTCCGACCCTCTCCGAGGAATGTGGAGGGGCCGCTACACTGTCAGTAACAAAGGGGCGGCCTCTTGATAACCCGAGTGGCGGCTGCCCCTGGAGTCTTCCGGACCCTTTATTTACCTGGGTCTCTTTCCCCCCACCCTCTCCTGCCCTAAATAGGCTGCTCAGGCTCTGGCTCCGTGGGGTCACAGCTTCAGCCCCAGCTCAACCCCACCCCCGAGCGTCCCAAATAAGTTTGCCTCTCTCCAGAGCAATTCACTGAAGCTGCTCTGGAAACGGAGGTACGGGCTGGAACAGCGCCCTGAGCAGTGGAGTTGGGGACGACCGTCCAAGGTGGTTCTCAGCTCGGGCCAAAAGGCTCTGAGAAAGCTACCACGCTCCTTGGGTCTCCACTGGGGGACCTGCTGCCGGTGGCACCTGCATCCTTCCAGGCCCCCACCCCTGCACCCCGAGGCTGGAGGAGCTGCCTCCCCTCCCCCATCTAGAGCAGGTTTCCAGAGGATAGGCACGTCACAAAGAGCTGTCAGAGGCTAAGCCGTGGGGATGAAAAGACACGCTGGCTCCCTTCCCATCAGCCACCTTCCACCCCTCTCTGACTGCTCCCACCACCCTGCCCCTGCAGGGACATAGATGGGTCCTCTCCTGGCTGAGAGGGCAACCCAGAGGTGAGGGGACATTTCCACTCCAAGGAGCTTTTCCAAGGACATTGTTGTTGCCTCCTTTTCCCTCACACACAGCCCAGGGCCCAGGACCATGGGTGGGACCATGCTACTGCCATGGGGGCCCATTTTTCCATGAAGGAAACCAATCAGTGTCCTTTCTCCAGCCCTCACACCCCACACCCCCAAGTGAGTGGGCCTCACTGAGATCTGGCCAGCTCCAGGGTCTAGCGTGACCCCTGGGGA